TGCGGGAGGCAGCGCCCAGGGGTGCGGGCACCCCGCCTGCGGCAGGCAGCGCCTCTGCTTCCCGTGGGCTTCGGTGCAGGGAGAAGCGAGACATCTCCAGCGCTAGCCCCAGCCACGCAGATGCACACGCGGGCAAAGGTTGGCCGTGGCATCCCTGCGCCCCCCTTGAAACATGGGTTCTGCGGGGTGAGGCGCAACCCCGTTTTCACAGACCGAGCAATGAACACCCGTGAGCAGCATCTCCTGGCCCAGGCACAACGGGCTTGTCTCACATCCTCGAGACGAACGCTGCCAGTGAGTGCTCAAGGTCCCTTCTGGCTCCTGCTGAGCACCAATGGGAAGCCTCTCGCCTCCACTAACACCTTGGGTCGGATGAGATTTCCACCCGATTATTAAGTTCTGCATTTTGTTTTACCATTCTGGGGCTTGGGCTTTTACATTTTCCTGGAGATACCCTTGTTCTGATGCTACAGGTAGTACTGAGGATGATCAGAGGGCTGGAGCACCTCTCCTATGACGAAAGGCTGCGAGAACTGGGCTTGTTCAGCCTGGAGAAGAGGAGGCTCCGAGGAGACCTCATTGCAGCTTTCCAGTATCTGAAGGGGCTACAAGGGGACTGGGAGAGGACTTTTTACAAGAGCGTGTAGTGATAGGACAAGGGGTAACGGGTACAAATTGAAATCAGGGAGGGTTAGATTAGATGTCAGGAAGAAATTCTCCACAGAGAGGGTGGTGAGGCACTGGAACAAGTTGCCCAGAGAAGCTGTGGATGCCCCATCCCTGGATGTCTTCAAGGCCAGGCTGGATGTGGCTTTGAGCAACCTGGTCTAGTGCAAGGTGTCCCTGCCCATGGCAGGGGGGTTGGAACTAGATGATCTTTAAGGCCCCTTCCAACCCAAACCATTCTATGATTCTATGAATTGAAGCTAATCCCTAGGCACCCTCCTGCCAGGGATGGTTCTACACCCAAAGGAAAACCTAACAGCACCTATTTTACACTTTGCTCCGAAAAATCCCATCCTCTCTCCCTCCAACGTGTCCACACATGCAGCACCCCCCGACAGCATCAAAGACAGTCCTGTTCAAGAAGAGGTACCCGGCACGTGGTTGGATTGACTGCATGGGCAGGAAAGTATCAGGAAGCACCCAGGAGCCTTGCACCCATGACAGGGTGTGCAGGAGGTGACCATAGATACTCAGAATTGGAAAGCTACTCATCCTGCTCGTTCATCCAAAGGCAGAGGCAGGCTTTGGGAGATGTGGCTGTGGTTTGGGCTTCCAAGGAGCAGATAACAAAGATGAGGCTGGACACTGCCCTGTACCCAGGCAGAAGAGAAGTCCCGGGGCCTGATGGATCGGTTTGTGTCAGCTCGGGTTAACAAGCCACAGTGCCCTGGGAAGGCTGCAATGCCCTGCAGGTTGATGCCAAAACACCCCACAGGCATAGAGGGTCCTTTCTAGCTCTGGATCATCTGGGGGTCATAGAGCTGCTCCCCACATGCACCCCAGTGCAGGAGCCCTGAAAGGCATGAACGGTGTGGGGCTGCTCCATGCTAACTCCTAGACAGATTTGTTTTAAATATCAGGATTTAGTCTCCAGGGAGAGGAAAGCAGCTCCCAGAAGGGACAGGTCACAGCTGGGCTAATCCAGATCATGTGAGAGCCTGCCAGGGTCAGGGGGAACGGGCTGGGGACAGTGGAGGAGCTGAGACCTGTGCCTGGAGTGAAGCCAGGTCACCTCTCCCAGCTGAGCAATGGGGTCTGTGGCTCAGGACACGAGGAGGGGGCCAAGATCTGTGACAGACAACTTCATTTGGCTGCCTCACCGCACCTAAGAAAAAAAAAAAACATATTCCCAAGAAGGGCTCATGCTGAGCCCGCATGGGATGCTGGAGGCTCAGGAGGATGAGCCAGGGCTGGGACAGCGCATGGAGCCGGCAAGGCATTGGGTGCGGAGGAGCAGGAGGACACAGCAGAGCTGCTGCCCTCCCCACATGGCTTTTTAGCTGCACTATTAGCTAGCATCCTTACCAGGGCTTCGGCTCGGCAAGCGCTACGCCGTGCCTTGGAAAAAAGCAATGGATGCTGAGGCAGGCTGGAGCGGAGTCTGGCTGGCAGTGGCTAGGGGCCAGACCAGTGCCTGGCACTGGTGTTACTGGGAGCCGTGCTGAAGCCCTGCTAACTCGTTGGCAGGTCAAACGACAAGAGGGTTTGTTGGGTTTTTTTCCCCTTTTTTCTTAAAACAGCCCAGCTCGGAGTTTGGCTCGGCACGGCTGGCAGGTGGGAGCGCAAAGAAAAATATTTCATGGCTAAAAAAATGGAGACAGAAAGACTGGTCCATCGGAACGCACACTGAATGAATCCCATGTGAAATGCCTTCTAACGCCATCGCTACAGTTTCCTCTGGATTAGCTGAGCTATCCTTGGCTCCCGGCTCCACAAAAATCCCATAAACAATCTGATGTGAACTTTTGCCCTTTCCGTGCTGATGCGAGGTTTCCTCCGCGGTCCCCGCAGAGAGGGCTGGGGGTTAGCAGGTGGCTGGACCTCCCGTAGGTGCCAGCAGATCCCGGCTGTCCTGCTCACCAGGGCTGCAGGAGGGAGCCTTTCCAAACCTGTTCCAGGCATCCTTCAACATGTGCACATGCGAGAGGGAGGAGAGGGATGGCTTGCGAGCTCAGTAACATGCATAAGCATCTTCTGCCGGGTCTTTCAGTACCCAGATTTTGACCGTGAGTTATGGGCTTGGTGCAGGAGCTAGTGAGTGAAACTCTATAGCCTGCCTTACGCAACAGGTCAGCCGGAGTGTGCCGTTTCCAAAAGCACTCGCCTCTGAGCTTCAAACGTGACTGAGGCATGCCGATTCCCACATCCCACTGACTGCCGGGGAGATTTCAGGCTCCTGAGATACTCTTCAACACAGGACTTGGTGCTTTTCAAAGTATCTTAAATGATGGTCACGGCTCCTGCAGGCAAATAGCTACCTGTGAAACCACTGACGACATCTCGACGGCAGGCCCGAACCCAAGCTACTGGGCTGTAGCTCCTCTGACACAGCTCCTACCAGAGCCAAACACCCGTGGCACGCGGGAAGAGGAGCTGCACGTTCAGCCCCTGGAACTGCTTTTGCTCCGTAAAAGGCTAGCGAGACCCTTCCCAATCTCTTGATAGCAATCTTGAAACTTACTCCTTGTAACCTACTCTTATCCTCAGCAAGTCGGCTGGTTGATGGCAAATAAAATATTAGTTTCTCAAGCCAAATCTCTGCAGAGCGAAGAAGGGCAAGTAAAATGACTGTGTGGCTGCTTGTCTCCATGGCAATGTGGCCAGGCTACACAGCAGCCATCAAAGTGCCCACTCTCCCTGATTAACCTGACAAATGACAAGGTTCGCTGGGAGGCAGAGACAAGGAGTACTTTGTTT